AGGGAGGGAGGGGGGGTCAGGCAGACTGGAGGCCAGCGAGGGGGAGGAAGGGGGCCAGGCTCTGGAGTGCATCCTGGAGCCAGCCAGGAGGCAGGGAGAATCCCTAGAAGAAACAGAGCCTGCCTGCTGGGGAGTCACCTCCCAGCTGAGGGGAAGAGGCGCAGGGAGCAAACAGAGGCAGAGCCCAGGCCAAGGGTCCACCGTCCCCAAAACGCCTGAGGCTGACATTGTGCTGGGGCTTGTCACCCCCTAACCTTTCACCAGGAGAAGAGCTCTCTGCGGCAGCTCCTACTGCAGTGGCCACAGGCCAAGGACAGCACTCGGGGCCAGCCCGGGACATCCTGTGGCTCTCTGCCGTGGTCACAGGCTAGCCCACCAGCTGGCAGAGAGTGCAGGGGGGAGGGGAGGTGCCCCTGAGGAAGTCCCTTGATGTCCTGGGTACCGCCAGCTGCAGAGGGAATGTACCCCCGCCCCCACCTTCCGCCTGAAGGAGCGGGGCGCTGACTGCAGCCACTGGACCCCACCCCTCGGCCCCAGCAGCACAAGCTCCCACCAGCTGACCAGACACACCAGACGCGAGTTAAACCGGAAAGCACATGTCTTTCCTTCTCTGGCCAGAGCCTGCCACCTGCAGGGAAGCCAGAGAGCCCGAGTCAAAGCTAAAACAGCAACGTCACTGGGAGCCCACGATCACAGCCTGGGGTGGTCCCCAGCCCTTCTCTTGGCGGAAGACGAGGTGGCAGTGGGATAGGAGAGCAGGGACCGGGGGCACAGCGGAGATACTGAGCAGACACTGGTGAGGAAGCGTGAGTGAAGCGCCATGCAGCAGCCTCGTCAGTGGCAGAGCCAGGACCCGCGCTCAGGGCAAGAGGCAGCAGCGCATTGCAAGAATAAACCCCCAGGTCTGGACGCAGATATGCGGGCCCAGGCTGGGCACTTTCTGGAGAGAGAGGCTCCCCCACCCCGGGGGCTCCCACTGTCACGCCGGCACTGCCAGCCAGAGGCCAGATGCCTGCTCTCAGAAACCATCCTCCTCCCCACGGGTGGACCTCAAAGGGTCTCGAACATCCCGTTCCCCGCCGTGTTTAAACATTTGCCTACAGCTGACCAAGAAGGCTGGGGGAGCGAGGGAGGCTGTGGAGAAGGGGGGCTGAGCCTCAGGATGCCGAGTTTGCACCCATTTGTCTGTGAACTTGGAGGATAACAGCAGAGCCGGCCAAGTGGGCAGGCGAGAATGAGGATGCCAGCCCCAAATCTCAGGGACACATCCACTGGGGACGCAGGGAGTCCGCAGGGACATCTGGAGGAGGCCAAATTTAAAAGGGCTCAAAGCAGCATTTCTGTCCACCCTCGGTTGTGGGCAGGTCCCTGGTGCATTTTTTGTTGGGCTCTTTCGCATCTGGAGCTTCTGCCAGGGGGTCCTGGAGCTGTTTTCAAACGTGAGCCGAGAGGCTTAAGAATCAGCTCATCCCTTGCAAAAGAAGTCAGGGGCGAGCAGAGCCTGGCCTCTGCTTGCTCTGACGTAGGATGGTAAAGACCTTTGTGTCGGCTCGTCGGAACAAGCGGGCCAGCTGTCCCCAGTGGAGCCCCTTAAAGTGAACCTGCCCAGGTGACGGAGCAGTCTTAGGTGCTGCCACCTTCAGCCCAAACTCAAACGGGCTGCGGGGCTCCCAGTGAGCGGGGTCGAAGATGGGGCTTATGCTGTGAGGACCCAGCCACCAGGAACAGGTCGGAGAGAGGACCAGTCACCTTCCCCGTTCCGCCCATGCAGCTCTGGGGCGCCCCTCCCGGAACGGTAGGCACGGGTGTGGGGAGCCTGAGCTACATTTACCCGGGGACCCGGATAGACTCCGAGCCTGAGAATGGTTTATTCTATGCAATATGCAAGTACAAACTCATGCCACTTCTCAAACCCGGAACCGCAGCTCGGCGCAGGGATAGTGTGACAGTACTCACACTGCCGCCTCCTGGCACGTGTTTGATATTATCCTTTGAGCCACACTTGGACTGGACGTTGCTAAGATCCAGCTTCTTATTAATTATCTGCACCTTTGATAGCCAGAAAAAAGGATGAGTGACACACCACACTCAGATGCATCTGCCCTACACAAACATGTCTGGCTGCAGGCCAGGGAGAGGAGGACAGGGCTCAATCACACCTCCCCGGGAAGCATTCCAGAACTGTGAGTGGCTGGAGGTGGACCCCACCTTACAGCGCTGGGTTTACAAAACGGTTCCATCAGGAGGCAGTTCTTCCCTTTACATGAGGATTACGTTATGGAGGCCCCCTCAGAGAGCACCTTGGAGGCCTAAAAATCGGAGGTGAGTGTCCACCAGGTTGGGATAGAGCAAAATGTACTCAGTTACATTATTAAATGAATAAATAAAAGTCCCAGCTGTGGCCTCATTCATACACCTACCAGACCCCTCTGAACATTCACCGAGACCTTTAGGTGGCTGTTTTCAAGTCTGTTAGGTATTGGAATCACCTGCAGACACATTTTTAAAATGCCAGACCTCACTCCTGACCTTAGAATCTCAGTCTTTGTGCTTTATGAAAAGCACCCCTGGTGCTTGGTTCAGATGCATGGCTAGGTTCAAGAATCACAGACTTCATGGGGAGGACACAGGTGGTTTCATGGAGAAGATAAATCTGGACTCCCTTCCATGGGAGGCCTTGGCCTCCTGGAAGGCAGGGTAAGTGCCTGCCCTTCACCACCGGCTCCCCTTCATCCACAAACCACCAGGCACTCAGAGGGAACAGGGCAATGTTCCCAGGTGACCTTCCCTAAGTTTTCCTGGGCAGGTGGTGTCCAGATGGTAGAGATCCCACTGTATCTCTGCGAGGCTTCTCCTTCTCCAGGCACCAGGGAAAGGGTGTGGGGCTATCCACATTCCAGGGGGGAATGATTTTTACCCAATTTGTCTGTGTATTTCATAGACAGACAACCATGGTGCAGAGAAGGGGAGCTGAGAAACTGCGTTTCGTCTGCCAGAGCAGGGATCACATCCTCACCAGGTGTCCTCCATCAGGAGTGCTGTATTTGGAACCAGTGGGCCTTAGTTTCTATTAATCACAGGTATAAATAACTGCCAACTGAAGTTTCCAATGAAGAGCCAGCACTGCCCTCTGAAATTCTGGAAATGGCACCAAGACCTCAGTTGCTGCCAGGTGGGGGCCACTGCCCCGGAGGCCCAGGGGCAGCTTTTAGGGCAGCTGTGGCTGGGGGGTCAGAGCCGGGGCCTGGTTCATCTAGGGTGAAGGGCCCCAAATCTGACCCAAGAGCCAGAGCCGGCCATCAAGGGGTCCACAGGTCCTCAGCCAAAGGAGGAAATAGGGACATGATAGCAAAATTTGTCCTACTTTCTGGTTTTAAAAATGGCCTTTCCTCCAATAAAATTTTTAAAAATATGAAAATAAAATGGCCTTTCCTTTATTACATTATTAATTATTAAATTACATTGATAGGAGATATTAGTTTTAGATGTCCTTAACCTGGCAAAATTAAAATATAGTCATCTTCTCTTGGACCCCCATCCCTGTTTTTTTCCTTAATTTCACTGCTCTGAATTGAAAAACCTGGGAAGCACACATCTAACCCATCGCTTTGTTTTCTTTTATGTTCCTTTAAAGTAAAAAGCTATGCCTTGGGCTTCCCTGGTGGCACAGTGGTTGAGAGTCCGCCTGCCGATGCAGGGAACACAGGTTCGTGCCCTGGTCCGGGAAGATCCCACATGCCGTGGAGCGGCTAGGCCCGTGAGCCATGGCCGCTGAGCCTGCGCGTCCGGAGCCTGTGCTCTGCAACGGGAGAGGCCACAGCAGTGAGAGGCCCATGTACCACAAAAAAAAAAAAAAAGAAAGCTATGCCTTTTTTCATCATAAAAAAGTAACAGGACATTACGATTTTGAAAAACAGAGGTTCCAGAAAGAGGAGAAAACGTTTTCTTGCTAACCCAGCACAACCACTGTTGCATTTTCTTGAATTCTCTTCAATTCTCATATATAAAAATAAAACTACCATCTCAGACATATAAATGGTAGTAATTATTGTGTACATACTATTTTATATCTTCCTTTACCAAGTATTTGCCACGTTCTACAGTCATCAGAAGCATTAATTTAAAAAATATGTCATATTCCATTTCATGTTATCTATGCTATCAGATATTTATATTGATTCCATTTTAAAGAATACAAACAGTTTCATCATGAACATCGTTCTGCAAGGAGTTTTTCCCATTCTGTGGATTATTTTCATAGCACAGAGCGCCAGAAGTACAATTTCTGGGCCAAAGTTACAAACACTCTAAAAACTCTCCACACAGCTCTCCAAATGGCTTTCTAAAAGGGTCAGATTAATTTCTCCTGTGAGCATTGTTGAGAAAGTCAGTTTCACCATGTTGCTGCCAGCATTGTGCATTAAAAGAAATTGTTTTTCTTATTTCTTTGATTAAAATAAGGAGATCTGTGTTACTGGCTTATTATGCATTTCTTTGATTATTATTAAAATCGTTCCTTTGTCCTTTTTTTGCTAGTAGTTGTATTTTTTTTCTAACATACAAACGTTGACATTTTTATATACTTCCTTTGTAACTTCCCTAGTTTTTAAATGTAAAAACCATCCTTTATTTAGAGGCTGGATAAATACCTAAGTCCACGTCACCCTTCTCACCTGCCATCCCCCCCGGCCCCGCCCCCCACCTTCCTGATGAAGAGGCCACTTAAAGTCCAGAGAAGTTCCGTGACTTTCTCAAGTCAGTGGCAGAATCCACACAGGAATCTAGAACTGGGTGTTCTGCGGCCACGGCTACCTACGTAACAACAATATTTTGCCAGAGCTGTTCTCAAGCCTGTTGTCTCATAAACCAAATTAAAACAACACTCTCTCAAGGTGAACGGTGACGTCTCTCCTGCCATACAGGAGACAGCATGGCAACGCCTCAGCCCAGGCTTGAGCTGGGACGAAGAGGCAGAACAGGTTTTCTCACCCTGCTTTGTAGGCAGTTGCTGTCAACCTCTGCACAATGTCCTTGAATCATTTCATCCCACCCTCAAATTTTAAGGAGTCCCACATGAACTCCTGCTTTGGGGATCATTTTTTATTGATAACTTTCCATTGGATAAGTCCCAGAAGCAGACTTTCCAGCTTTCATAAGAGAATTGGAGCTTAGAATTAGAAAACACGCACCAACACACAAAATAATAAAAGAAGATTGAAAAGACAATGGTAAAAGAACGGGAGGCCATCAGGACTGACAATGATAAGACTGATCATTAAATTTAACTCTGAGCTTCCTGGAAGCCAAGGCAAAAAGCAAAAACATGCTGGGTTACATAACTCTCTTATCTGACAAAGAAAACTTACCCGTTTTTCAAGGAGGATTGCCTTATTTTCTGTTTTAATCCTTACAAGAACATCAAAAAACTCAAGAGCCATTAAGCAATAACAAGATGTGCAACATACACAGAAATGTTTTCTCTGTGCAGCTTTTTCTTGTTCCAATCCCACAAAAAAGGCAACGAGCTTTTGTGGGATTTGGCAGGAGACATAAGGATATTTACAAAGCAGACCTGAATTACTGTTAGTTGTCAAATTAAGTCAACACCCTTTTCAGAATGGTAGATTTACAGAAAGGAGGAAAACGGGCAATGGTTTGTATTATGAAATTGGAATCCTGAAACTTAATTTCTCAACTTGAGTAAATGTATGATACTGAGGCTCAGCTCTGGGCAGACATTGAAAATAGCCAAAGGAAAAAAACAATGTTTTGGAAGCTCCAAATTTTGATCCCGGGGACTCCTAGTCAAGGGATAAATTCCTGTGGTCAGGGTTCGACCCTGGAGGAGAGGCTGGGGTGGTGTGAGCCTGGGAGTGGGTCCACTTTGGTTTAATCCATTTCCTAGAGAACCCCAAATGGTTCCAAACCCTCATCAGACCTTGTTCTGGTTCTTTTTGGGCTCAGCTTTCTTGATGTGTTCCAGATCGCCCAGCCCTCACCACTCCCACCCCAGCAGCTTCCAGGCTGGCCCGGTGTCCTTGGGTCACCCCTGGTCAGGCCTGTCTCGAGCCCTGCCTGGCGCTGGGCCTGGCTTGGCCTTGCTAGGGTCAACAGGCCTAGTGCTGAGGATTGGGGGCTGGGATGCTCTGGTGGGAATTTAACCTGGTGTGGGCACTGGATGCCCACAGCAAGCCTTCTCTTCAAGTCCAAGGTGGTCAGCCTGAGAATTGACACAGGAGATCAAGTAATAGGGAAGTCACCTTTAGAACTATTTATACTGTTCCTTTAAACAGTGACTGCCCCAAGATTCTTTATAATGATGGGATTTACACAAGATTTGTTTTCCAGAAACATAGATGTTGTGTATAGGGAGAGATGCCCAGAGGGTCTCCGAGTTACAAGGCTGCCCCAGAGGAGGCTCTCAGCCTGGCTCTGCACAGCCTGACACTTCAGCTCAAGTGCAGCTGAGTGCCTGGCCCTGACCCAGGACAAGCAAACGTACAGACTCACTTTATTTACTCCACATAAATGTTCTACATGTGTACTTTTAAAAATGAGACAAAGTTTCAACAGATGCAATCAATTTTTGAAACAGTTCTCCAGAATGGAGACAGACGCAGCGTGCCATCGCCATCTTGTGGCCACCTGGAATATTGCAGCCCAAGGCTTTCCAAGCCCGGCAGCTTTGGTAGGTTTCTGTCCTGCCTGGGGCCTTCGCATCCCAGCTACTGCCTTGGACATCCTCGGAGGAAGTGACTTTAGCTCCATCTGCTCAAAGCCGGTAACCAGACCACCCCCCATGCTCTGGTCATGACTCTGCCTGTCCCTTCTCACCTCGGCAGCCACAGGGATACCCTCAGTTCTCCTTACCTGGCAGCCTCAGCCCCATATGAGCTCCTTCTCTCTCACGATGGAAGGTACCTGGGACCTCTGTGCTCTCCGCTGACCACACAGAGACGCTGCTGAGGTTGGTGCTGCCATCACCTGGGCTGGGCCCAGACCCGCCCTCTTATTCACCTCCCCCTCCGTGACTCACTGACAGTCAAGCCAAAGGCTCTGCGGTGGGTGCTCTCCACTACCCTCTTTCTTCTCCATCCTATCCTGTCCTGTCGGGGCAAACACAGAGCTGGTTCACGGCAGACCCAGCAGGGACCTCCCTCTATCAGCTGTTAACTCTCCAAAGCTCTCGCGTAAACGAACAAAACCCCACCCTAACCCACGCCCTTCTGCTACCCCAGCTGGTACCAGTTTTAGCTTTATTTTACTTTTGCTCTGAGTATCTCCAGGTGCAGTTTCCCACTATTCTCTCTTCCGTGTCTCCAGAACTCTACGTGGGGGACTTTCCCATCAAAGACCCAATGACGGTCCCAAACAAGGCTCTGTCCTGTCTTCTCTGACTTGGTAACAACTGATATTGTGGGTGACACTCCACAACACAGGTGACTCTCAGTATGGTGGCCCTTGATGGTGCAGGTAACCCCCTCAGTGTGGGTGACAACAGTACAGGTGACCCTCAGTATGGGGGACCCTCGATGGTGCAGGCTGCTCCCTCCTGCATATGCTTCCCTGGCCAACCTCTCCTCTTGCCCTTTTTTCTATGCTCATGTGTCTCTCTCTCCTGCCCGGGCCTGGGGGCAGAAACTCTCACAGCACAGGGCCTGGCGCTCAGAGGTGCCCCAGGAATGTTGAATCAACGAATAAAGGAAAGAGAGAAGGAACCAGCTTTTGGTGTTATTGTATGTTCTGTTTTCTAATTTATTTCTACTCTTATCTTTGTTTCTGTATTCTTATTCTTTTCTTGTATTCTTTTTTCCCTCCAATACGAACATATATGCTGCAATCATTAATTTTTTTAAATAATAAAAGCATTTAAAATTATAAATTCCTTCTAAGTACAATTTGGGGGCATCACCACATAATTTATGGCATTTGTTATCAAGGCACTTGGAAAAGGCATTTTCATTTCCAAACTGAATGAGCAGTGACAAAGGAAAAGTTTAATTCCCAGGCATTTGTGGTCATATTGGTGATATGCACACAGTGAAGTTCTGGTGTATCACACTGAGGTTAGAGATTAGAAGCAATTTCTGCTTCTCTATATTTATAGGTATTTTTCTTTATGGACTAAATAGATTATTGACATAATATCTGGACTCTTAACAGATAAACCCTTTACCTTACAGTTTAATTCCCGATATTTGTTCATTTTCCCCTTTCAATTACATGGACTTACTTTGTCCTTTTATCTTTTTACTTTACTAATATCTACTGTGACACCTCCAGTCACAACTGCATTTCTATCCATTTTTTTCTTTTTTAAAATATTGATTGATTGATTGATGTGGACCATTTTTAAAGTCTTTACTGAATTTGTTACTTTGTTAATTTGTTACAGTCTTTACTGAATATTGCTTCTGTTTTATGCTTTGGCCCTGAGGCATGTGGGAATCTTAGCTCCCCATGGGGTCTCAGCCTGGACTGCACACTGGGAACCCCTAGGGAGGCCCTCTCAAGAATCTCATGGGCTAGGGAGAGGCTCTGGCACTAGGATTTTTCTTTTTGTGTGGTACACGGGCCTCTCACTGTTGTGGCCTCTCCCGTTGCGGAGCACAGGCTCCGGATGCACAGGCTCAGCAGCCATGGCTCATGGGCCCAGCCGCTCCGCGGCATGTGGGGTCTTCCCGGACCGGGGCATGAACCCGTGTCTCCTAGCAGTAGGCAGGCGGACTCTCAACCACTGCGCCACCAGGGAAGCCCTGGGACTAGGATTTTTAAAAGAATCCTCCCCCTTCCCTGCCCCAGGTGATTCTCCTTTGCAGTCACAAGAGAACTGCTACTCCTTCCTTCCCTCCCCACCTTTGGTGGATCCAGCTGGTTCTGTTAAAGTGGCCAAGTGATCATCTGCATTTTCCTTTAAAAGTAATTTCGTTTTGGACTCTTCAAACAATATATGTTCACTGTAGCAAATCATGAAAACAGAGAAATGTACGAAGCAGAAAACAGACGTTTTACATTTTTTTCCAACCAGTGATCTGTTGCGGTTTTCAGTCTCTGCAGGTTTACAAACATGACCGTCTCCTGCTTCTCCTTCTCAACGTGTCATCTGTTCTGGGAGTTGAGTTATCCTTCAGACTCTTGGAGCATTCGTTGTCCCTTTTGTAGCCGAATAAACAGTGATTGAGCACTTACTGTATTGTATGTTGGGCTGAATGAGAGGCCACAAGGACCCAAAGATCTCACGGGACCTTGAGGGACCTTCAGTCTAGTCATTTTATTTTATTATTTATTTATTTATTTGGTTGCACTGGGTCTTAGTTGCAGCAGGCAGCCTCCTTAGTTGCAGCTTGTGGGCTCTTTAGTTGTGGCTTGCCAGCTCCTTAGTTGCAGCTCACGGGCTCCTTAGTTGCAGCACGTGGGCTCCTTAGTTGTGGCACGTGAACTCAGTTGCGGCATGCATGTGAGATCTAGTTCCCTGACCAGGGATCGAATCCCGGCCCCCTGCATTGGGAGCGTGGAGTCTTATCCACTGTGCCACCAGGGAAGTCCCAGTCTAGGCATTTTAAAAGGCCTTCTGTGTGGATCCCAGGTGCCTTCTTTTTTTCCTTTTCTTGTCGTTTTTCCTGGAGATTAATGTGTTGAACTTTGTTATGGGTCAGGTTTTCTTTGTTTCACACAATTTTCTAGGTTTTCCATGGAATTTAAGGGGAAGCTGTTACCACCCCTTCTGCCACTTCCTCACATCTCCTCCCCAAAAAGCCCCAAGAAAAGTCACTTTTCTTCTTTAACCTTCAGTTGCCATGGACACACGTCTGCACCCCAGCGCGGTGCGGCCATAACCTGGGGGCACCCTTCCCATTTCCGCCCCGAACATCAAGTCGCTGGCCCTCGGGGGCCCTGTCAGCGCTGTCACTGCTGCTCTCAGCGGAGTTACCAGAACGGGGCCAAATGGGCTGGGGCAGCCGGCAGGTGTTTGCGGGTGTGTGACAGAGCCCCGCAGGCTGGGAGGCACTGATGGTCACGGTTTCCCTCTTGCCATGATGAGCGCGCTGGTCACAGCCCCACAGTCTTCTCAGTGGTGCAGAATTGGCTGTGTGGGGCTTTGTTTTTCATTTTTCAAAACAGGCAAATGCTCTGTGCTATGAAAACAGGGCACACACAGGACATCCACAGCGTTGAGGGAGGGGTGCGAACGCCAGTGGGAAACATCCCATCACCTTGGAAACCCTCTCCCTGGGGGTCCCTCTGCCCCCAGAGCCTCACAGAGGGGTCACCTTCAAGCCAGCGCCCAGCCAGCTGCGCCAGAGCCCCTTCTGGAAGGAGACAGGCATCTTTACGAAGCACAGCAAACACTGCAGGAAGGTAAACACGGCTCAGGCCCAGCACTGTGGCCCAAAGACCAGTGCGATGAGACCCCGAGAGGCACCCAGACCTCCCCACTGGGCAGGACCGTTCGGGTCCCAAGGATGGGAAAGGGCAGCAGGGGTCTCTGAGGCTCCACTGGAAGCAAAGTGCACGGTTTCAGGCAATGGCACCAACATGGACCAAAGGTGCTCTGAGACACCCTCCCTCCACGGTGACCCAGGCCCCAGACAAGAGTGATTAATAAAATCAAGAGTGCGGAGGCCCCAGCTGGGGCTCCCGACTGAAAGGGAAACATTGGCCCCTGCCCACCAGGAGGCTCACTACCCCCAAAACGGCCCAGCCTGGAAGGCCCAACACAAGAGCTGGGTCTTGGTCCTCCAATCCCTTTCCCGCCTCCCTTCTCCCTTCTCTGTTCCCCACCCTGTGCTGGTTGGGGAGGATGCTATTTTCTGAATTGTGTCCCCCAAAGTCCACATGCTGTAGTCCTAACTCCCAGCACCTCCGAATGGGGCTATATGTGGAACAGGGTCTCTAAAGAGCTCATTACGTTAAAATGAGCTCATTAGGGTGGGCCCTAATCCAATATGACTGGTGTCCTCATAGGAAGGGGGGACTGGGACATAGTGACACCCAGAGATGGACCATGTGAGGCCATGGGGAGAAGACGGCACCTACAAGCCAAGGAGAGAGGCCCCCGGAGACACGACCCCCACCGACACCTTGATCTTGGACATCCAGAACTATGAGGCGTTACATTTCTGTTGTATAAGCCGCCCAGGCCGTGGTATTTTGTACGTCAACCCTAGGAAACTCATACAACGGGGGATGGGGTCAAGAAGAGGAGGAAGACGGTCCAGGCCGTCCCCATTTCTCTCCACCTCTGGCCCTTGGAAGCTCATTTTCTCCAACTTTGGGGACCCAGAAATGTCATGAGCACCTATTCGTCCCTGGAAGAATCAGCTGTTCAAAACAGAATCACGAATTTCCCCAGAATTGGGACCTTAACAAATGTCCAACCAACACCAGAGACACAGCGACCTATGGACTGGCTGTCTCATTTTCAAAACACAAGGCAGCCGGGGAACCCCTGTGGCGCCCACTTTGAGAACCGCCAGGTCACGGAGCTACAAGCCTGTCACCTCAGATCCGTCCAATCAGCAAGGGCTGAAGTGAGGAAGGGAAGAACCGGTACTTTCTCTCCCCTGAGCAGGGCACTCACGGCCTGGTGGTGACCCCAGTAAAGAACCGAACAGTAACCTACTGTCTTTCCTTGAAGAGGCCGGGGAGGTGCTTGTGCTATGGGGGG